TCCTCGAGTAGAACTGTAGCGCACATAAATTTACCAAAACCTATACAGTCTTTTACTAACTGCAAGTGTGAACATACTAACTGCAAGTGTGAACAGAGTCCAACTCGCTCGTTGGGGAAAAACAGCCATTTTATTGCGGTAACACTGGGGAATGAGTTAATTCCCACGATGAAAGACAGTATACTCTTCAAGAGAAGTAAACCAACCATACCACGGTTGGTGTTAGAAGCCGCGATCAGTGTGTCTCAAAACTCAAGACTCAAGAGAAGTACTTTGAGAACGTAAGGAGCACTGCTGCAGGCCTACTGGCCCAAGCTAGACAAGTCCAACGTACATCCACTCATGCAATTAATTTTTTTTGAAAGCTACACAATGTTGTAGCTTCAATAAAGCTGCTCGGGAGTTTATTTATCTCATCCACAACTCCATCACCAAACCAGTGCTTTCCATATCCTTTCTCTATTTTTTCCAACTTGAAACTTTCCTTGGAGTCAACTTGACTGCTTCCCACTACTCCTATGGGTTCAGTGCTCCTAGGAATGAAACTTTTTTAACACAACGGCCGTCTCCCGTCGATTTAAGGTGTCCCAAAAGAGGAAACCCTTCCACCATCACTGTTATCAGTGGCGCACCGATACTACAGTTCAGATATCTCTCCATCAGAGCGCAGGCACTCTGCTTCCCACCTCCAGAACTTAAGTCCGACTAGACAGTTTCCCTGCATCCCTTCATGTTACCTTGCCCAAACTCCAACAGCACGTAGTTATAAAAACTACTTGACTCCACTCAATATCTACTACGTTCGCACGCCCTTGCTGAATATCCCAGCCAATCGCATTAAAACCTCCTTTACCCCTCCCTCCAACCTATTCACTAGATTTATAGACTCCGAGCCATCCTAATTTCGCTTTAAATGTCCAACCACCTCAAGCTTCTCGATAATATTTTTAGTAACCCCTCACTTTCTCCTATTCTCCACACTACAAATTTTCTGCATATTTACACGACACACTGCCCTCGGATATACCTCCACTGCCTCCAGCCTCAGCCTCTTCCTTGCTGTAAAATGCACAATCTCGCTTCACACTCATATAGAGGTGTTGGGTACCATTATTCTCTCAAATATTTCCCTTTTTGTCACCATGGTTAACGTTCTTTGACGCCATAGATGTTGGAATGCCGCACCCTTTTTTCCTCGTCAATTGCATGGTTCACTTTGTCTTTCATCGACCCATCCGCAGATAACTCCACTCCCAAATATCAGAAAGCATTTATTTCTTCCATACTCTGCATATTAAAAGGGAACATTGCCTTCTGATATTCCCACAGACTCCTGCCTCTTCCTAGCTGCAAAATTCACAACCTAAGTTTCGCAACCATATAAGTGTTGTGACAACTATTAACTAAACATTCAGTTTTGCCTCCATGTATAACAAGCTATCTCCACAGATGCCGGAACACATCACCTACCTTTTTCCCCTTCATCAATTCAATGGTTCACCTAGTCTTCATAGATTTATCCGCCGATAAATCCATTCCCAAATGGGAACACATTCACTTCCTCCGTACTCGGCATATTTACACGACACACTGCCCTCAGCCAGGACATCACTACCTCCAGCCTCTTTGTCTCCGGAATGCACCATCCCCCCCCCCCCATCCATCATCAATTCTGTGGTTCTCCTAGACTTTAATCGACCAATCAGCTGACAAATCCACTCCCAAATATCAGAAAGCATTTACATTTTCCATATTCTGCATATTAACAGCACACATTGCCTGAAATCATATCTGTCTCCAGCCTCTTCCTCGCTGCAAAATTCACAGCCTATGCTTCGCACCCATATGCGTTGGAACAACTATTAACTATACATTCCCCTCTTTGCCTCTGTCTCCACAGATCCAGAATGCATTACCCACATTTTCCCTCATCAATTCTAAGGTTCACCTCATTTTTTTGTAGACATCCGTCGATATGTCTACTCCTAAATATCTGAAAACATTCAATTCCTCCATACTCTGCAATTTTTAGAGGACACACTGCCCTCAGGCTTCTACACGGCCTCCACCTTCTACCTCGCAGCAAAATTCACAACCTATGCTTCGCACCTATATAAATGATGGTACCACTATTCTCTAAAACTTCTCCTTTGCCTTCATGTACAATGTCCTGTCTCTACAGATGCCAGAACACACCACCTACCTTTCCCTCCCTCATCAATTCTATGGTTCACCTAGTCTTCATAGATTTATCCGCCGATAAGTTCATTCCCAAATGAGAACACAATTCACTTCCTCCATACTCGGCAAATTTACACGACACTGCCCTCAGCTAGGACATCTCCACTACCTCCAGCCTCTCTGTCGCCACAGATACCGGAATCCACCGCCCACTTCCCCCCTACTCACCCCTCATCAACTCTGTGGTTCACCACGACTTTAATTGACCAATTCACTGACAAGTCCACTCCCAAATATCAGAAAGCATTCACTTCTTCCATATTCTGCATATTAACAGCACACATTGCCGTCATCAGATCATATCTGTCTCCAGCCTCATCCTTGCTGCAAAATTCACAGCCTATGCTTCGCATCCATGTAAGTGTTGGTACACTTATTAACTGAACATTCCCTGTTTTGCCTCTGTCTCCACAGATGCTAGAATGCATCACCCACCTCTTCTCTCTTCATCAGTTCTATGGTTCACCTCATTTTTTGTAGACATCCGTCGATATGTCTACTCCTAAATATCTGAAAACATTCACTTCCTCCATACTCTTAAATATTTAGAGTACACACTGCCCTCAGGTATTTCCACGGCCACCACCATCTTCCTCGATGCAAAATTCATAGCCTATGCTTCGCACCTATATAAATGATGGTACCATTTTTCTCTAAAGCATAACGTGCTGTCGAACAGATGTCTCAATGCACCACCCACCCTATTCCCTCATAAATTCTATGGTTCACCTCGGCCTTCTGACCCATCCGCCGACATGTCCATTTCCAAATAGGAACACATACAATTCCTCCGTAAAATCTCCAGCCTCTTCCGAGCTGCAAATTTCACAGCCTATACTTTGCACCCATATTAGTGTGTTGGTATATCTATCAACACATCACTCCCCTTTTTGCCTCCATGTATAACGTGCTGCCTATCTTTTTTTCCCTTCATCAATTCTATGGTTCAACTAGTCTTCATAGACATATCTGCCGACATATCCACTCCCAACTATCTGAAAAACATTCAATTCCTCTGCATATTTACAGGACACATTGCCCTCAGATATCTCCACGGCCTCCAGCCACTTCCTTGCTGCAAAATTCACAACCTATGTCTCACCTATATAAATGTTGGTACCACTGTTCTCTTATAACTTCTCTTTTGCCTCCATGTATAATGTGCTTTGTCGCCAAATACGCCTCAATGCACCACCCAATGCCTTCAATCTATAAACCTGACATCTTTCCTAATGATTACCTAAAATCTTTATTACCATCCTTTAATTTCTTTACTTCCATAATACTTGACCCTTCCCATCTACAATACTCTTTTAAATTTCACTGTCGTATATCACCTAATACAGAACTTTCATTTCACTGTTCTCTCTCTGCTGTTTTGAAAAACCATCGCCCTCCATACAGAACTTGCCCATTCAAGTGAACTATAATCAACAACTCCATGGTTTATATATTTTACACATCAATTCCCTAACTCTACATAGTTTGTTATATATTTTACACATCAATTCCTTAACTCTAATGCCATTCTGTTACAGGCAATGAAACTTGTAACAACTTTTCAAGAATTTTCTAAAGGATTGCCACAACAGACAAGCCTCGAATAACAGCCTAATATAAACAGTATATTTAATTGCTCCCATAAATTCTACTTTAGATTTCAGTATCACAATATGTAATTAAATGGTAAGCAATACTTACAAAAAAATTCTTCTTACATATCGCGATGCGGCCTAAAGTTCATTCTGTTAAGCACTTCCTTTTTGCAAACCCCTTAAGGCATCCATAGCAGATATCTTTGCTCACTGGCATTGATTGTGAACAAGAAGCTTGGTGCTGAATAGTGGTAAATGGATGTCTGAAAACGTAATTTATTTTTAAACTAGTAATTCATATTAATTCACTGAATGACCAATTCTGAAAATTAATCAAATTAAGATGACAATACATTTGTCCAATGTTAAACAAATTATACTGCGCGTAATAGTTTATCATAAACGGAAATGCTCTAAAATGTTAGTATACCTAAATATGATTTGAATATTAGTACTATCAAATTCAGTACTGTAAAAAGCAGACTGAAACAAATATTGTGAAAACTGATAATACTGATAAAAGAAAAACTTACTTGGATAAAAGCTGATACAATAAGATTCATGTATATAAGCTGCAAGGAAAAAGGGTTACTGGGCTGTAATACAATAGATGCAACTCTCTAAAAGTTAATGCTGAAGGGAAAGAAGCAGAAAAAAAAATAGCTGAAAAATTACCAGATTATTTAAGGCTGTCAAGTAACATTTATTAAAAAAAATAGTCATTCACCAGAAACAAAATTGTAATCAACAAATTATGCTTATATTAAAATTATTAAACATTTAATAATACATCAACAATATTAAGATGTTCTATATTAATAGTATTCAATAAGTAATAATAAAAGGCTGAAAGAAAAATGGATTAGGCTGAAAGAAAACTGGATTAAACTGAAAGGAAACTGGATTAAGCTGAAAGAAAAATGGATTAGGCTGGAAGAAAAATGAATTATGTTGAAAGAAAACTGTATTAACTGAAAGAAAAATTAATTAGGCCGAGAGAAAAACGGATTAAGGTAAAAAAGAATGAATTAAGCTGAAAGTGGATTAGTCTGAAAGAAAAATGAATTATGCCGAAAGAAAAACTAATTAAGCTGAAAGGTAATGGAATACGCTGAAAGAAAAACAAATTAAGCTGAAAGAAAAACGGATTAAGGTGAAAGAAAAACGGATTAAGCTGAAAGAAAAATAGATTAAAGCTGAAAGAAAAATGGATTAAAGCTGAAAGAAAAAAAAGTTTACCCAAAATAATGACATGTTAAGCTGAAAAGGAAAAATATTTATAGGGGCTGAAAGAAATGAGTATTTTAAGCTCAAAGGTAAACAATGCAGCTGTATTTGAAGTCATGAGCAAAAATAAACCAAGAAACAAACATTAAATCTTCAATATTTGGTTATAAAATTAAATCTTCAATATTTTGGTTACGAAATAAAAGTAATTATTGCACATAGTATCAATGTTTTTCTATATTACCGTTAAATGTTTTTAAGCCACGTAAAATGTATTTTTTAAATACATATATTATACAAAAAATAAGAGCTCAAATGTACATAACAAATTCGTAACAAAAGAAGTTTAACATTTAAAATATTGGCTAGACATTGACAATACTGAAATGAAGGACTGAACAAACTAGTAATGGAAATGGTAATCAGAAATCAATTACCAGATTAATCATGGTAGGCTGCAAATTAATGTTAGAAATGGTTATGCAGAAGGAAATATTTACATGGTAATCATTAGGGCTAGCCAGTCATAAAGATGCCAGAGTGATGTCAGCCGTTGGGGCTTGAGAGTCATAAAGACCTTTTTATTAAGCTACCATGATGATGGCAGCCGTCAGGGTTAGAGGGTGATGGTAGCCGTTGGGGCTACGAAGGGTGATGGCAGCCGTCAGGGCTACCAAGGGTGTTGGCAGCCGTTAGGGCTACCAAGGGTGTTGGCAGCTGTTAGGGCTACGGTGTTGGTAGCCGTTTGTGGTACCAAGGGTGTTGGCAGCCGTTAGGGCTACCAAGGGTGTTGGCAGCAGTTAGGGCTATCAAGCGCGCTGGCAGCCATGAGGGCTACCAAGGGGGCTGGCAGCCGTTAGGGCTACCCAGATTGGTCAATCGTTAGAGCTACCCAGGGTGATAGCATCCCTTAGAACTACCTAGGGTATTTGCAGCCCTTTGGGTGAAGGGCTCTATTCTTTCCAAATGTTTATTACACATAAGATCAAATACTTCAAATTATAACATTAAATATTATATTCACAAAAAAAAAAATAAGTGTTCATCGCGTACGGATCACAAAGAGCCAGGACAATGAAAAGATGGTCGTAGGTCATAGATGAAAAATCAAAATGGCTTAAGATATTCACCAACCTTGCGTTAGGTGCACTATGCAGTACCAAGTTTCTTACACTGTCTTCCTGAGGCAGCGAAGACCAACTTTTCTGGAAAGAAACTAAAAACATTAACACTTGTTAGTTATCTAGCCATATTAAGTCGGTCCTAAAAATTTTAATACGAAATAGTCACCGCAAAGATGTTTGGGTAACATACAGCAGCGCTGTATGACCTTCAGAGGTTTAGCGCTTTTTGACAATTGTAATAATATACGTATTTACATAAATAATTTCTAAATATAAATTTCACACACATACATATATATATTAAACACTTAAACATATATAATTATATTCATAGGCAATTTAACCTAGCGCCAAATCTTGTTTGCACAGAGCGCACATTACGCTGTTTTTGGTGCCAAAACCTACAGTGCGGAACATGTATTTTACGTTCCCGGCGCCAACTTTTATTTTGCTCAACATACATTTCCTGTTCTGGCGCAACTTTTACTTTGCGTTGCGCATATTTTACCTCTTGTTGGCACCAATAATCGCACTGTAGCGCTAAACCCGCAAGGAGTAATTATATTTAAGGGGAAGCGATAAACCAATGAGGGGCATAAAACACTTGGAAAATGCGAAACCAATCAGATTCAAGCTAAACGGGTACAAGTTCAATGCCTTGGATCAAGAGCCAACCTTCCCCCAATGCAATGGGTGTGAATAACCAAAATAGAGCAGCTCTAAACCCGCAAGGGTCACGGTGCCTCGGAAAATGGAAGTATTCATATACAAATAATCTGCTTAATTCCATGGATCAAGAGCCTGTCACCCTGGTCAAGGCATTTCCCCAGGTAGGGGGGTGGCCGTATTAAGGCAGCGTTCTCTATACAATCATAACTTAAAGCACTAATATATGTATTACAAATACTAGTATAAATACCGTCATATACTGGTGTGTGTATATATTATAATATATATATATATATATTATCACATTTTTTTTATTATCACACCGGCCGATTCCCACATTCAAATACTGGTATAATAACAGTAGCATATATACTTTGACAAAAAAAAAAGTATATATACCATAACACTACAATAGCAGTTAAAATATATTATATATATATATATATATATAATATATATATATATTATATATATATTATATATATATATATATATATATATATTATATATATATGTCGTGCCGAATATGTAAAACTGGTCAATTAGCAAGAACTCATTTGAAATTAAGTCCTTTAAAAATATATATAATATATATATATATATATATATATATATATATATATATATATATATATATATATATA